AACCGAAGCCTCGTCTCTAGATGAGGTGGTCGTTCTAGATGCTTCCACAGACGACATCTGCCCGCCAACATTTTCAGATGGCTTGTACCGTGGGCCCCACTCTTTGTGATTGTTGACTGGTGTGGGCGTACTCATCCAGGGGCTTTCCCTTGTCGAGCCCAGCCGGGAGTAGGTTGAGTCTCTCTGCATTTGTATTACTTTTATTTTGTTATTAAGTCGAATATATTTTCATGAACAATAATAATTATAGAAATTAATTTGAAAAGGGACAGTACGCCATCATCGGATCTTCCGGGAGTGTTGGGAGCTTGCTGGTTGAATCTTTGGACATTGTAGAGTTCCATGATCCGGTCGTAATTTTCGCCCCACCATCTTTGAGCTTCCCATTTGTTGAACATCTCCCGGCTTCATACGTTTTCATGTTAAGCCATCAAAGTTCGATTAATTGTTTCGTTTAAAAATACAAATATAATGTAAAGATTAGTGATGTTGTTTTGATATAAGCACCTGAAACGGATTCGTTTAAGATCATTCCCTCCACGAGGTAGAGACACGAATGTAATCTGAACACCCGGTTCAACTTGGGCCATCCACTCTTTGGGTCCATCTTCGTCTTCCAGCACGACCTCACCAGACTGGGCCGAGATGGACTCCATCCCACCAAATGCCGTAAATCTCGGGTCGGGCCGAATAGCACGATGATGGCCAGTGATGGGAAAATCCCATGCAGGCGTAGAACTCGAGCTTACATATGTGTACGGAACACGTTCTGATATCGAATCAAAGTCAGGATAAGGTCTTTGAACTTTCTTCAACATTCCGTCTGGCTTGCCTTTGTGAGCTCCCGACACCTTCAATGCCATATCCTTGATCTGCTCATACAAAGAAAATAAAATTCGAAACGGCAAAAAAGTTTACGAGGAAGATCACGATAGTATATGGTTGTGTTTAGCTTAACAAAACATAAAACATAAACATAAACATCTTGTTAACTTTATGTTTTGTAATAATAGGTTTATATTCTGTTCTGATTTTTATGTATGTTTTTTTCAAAAATATAAGAAATCAGAAACATCAATTGCAGATTTTAAAATATTATGTTAAAAAAAAAAAAAGCAACCCTTTACAGTCTGAAGCTAATTGGAGGTGTCATCAGATTTTAATTTCTTTTATTTACTTCTTTTTCTGCACAATTGCAGATTGTAATCTGAAAAAAAAAAAGGCTAAAATAGCCCTGTTTTGTAGTATTTAATATGGCTGTATTAGTACTACTTTAAAGTCATCCAACATGTTCATGACCTTCAATTTTCTCAGTTTTTTAGTG